TTCCTGATTTCCTAGGTAAAGGGAAAATATCACAAGCTTCTATATAGGAGGAACACGTTCTTTGCATAGGAAAAAAAATCAGATAAGCACTGGATGTCACATCTAAAACACTAGAAGCTGGCTGGTAGTAGAGTAACATATATAGACAACCAGGATGAAGGATTTCTTATCCAAAAATCCAGTATTCAGACAAAGTATCATAATCTATCAGCAATGGAAGGCATATTTGGTTATATAAGGATTTAGAGTACTCTAACCAAATGACAACTGAATAAGAACAGAAATCTCAAGACAGGGGAAAACATCAGGTTTTTCTGTTAGTCATAAATAAAAAGATTATTTATTTTTGTTTCATAAATTCATACTTAGCACTTCTGCAAATCCCCATACATTTTCATCTATTTAAACTTAACTATATAAATTTATATAGAAGAACAGAGAAGTAAAAGCCTTCTAAAAGCTTAATCTTGGTGTGGAGTAAGAGGTATTGGTAAGTATAGTATCTTGGTTGGAGGGAGGTTTAGACATTTTATTTAGATAAATAACAATAATAATAAGTAATAATAAAATATTATTACTGTTAGAATCCAGAAGGTAACCTATAACAGAGTGGAAACATTGGCAATAATTGAAAACAGAAATTCAGGATTAACAGGCAGAGAAAAAAAGAAGTATGCACTGAAATTGACCAGAAACAAGAAAAGAGAAAAAATAAAAAGCAATAATATAACTAAATAAAAAGAGAGTTTAACTTCTGGTTAGTATGAGGGAAGATGTTTTCTATTTCAGTCTCTACTGATTATATGTCTAGCAGTGCTAACCTACAGTCAGAAATTATGAGGCATGTGAATAAGCAGCAATAGGTGACCCATAATCTAGAAAAAGAATGAAAAGAATTCCACCTATGATCAGAAGGTTGGAATTAGCAGACAAGAATTTTAAAATAACTGTTATAAATATGTTTAATGACTTATGAGAAAACATAAGCAAAATGAGTGACAAAATAGAGATTTTTAGCAGAGACATGGAAACCCTAAAAGAGAAACTAATACAAATTCTAAACTAGAAGAGTATAATGGACAAAATGAAAATTTATTAAATGTACCTAATAACAGATAGAACACATTGAAAGAAAGGATCATGGAGCTCAGGGGCAAGACAATAGAAATTATACAGATTATCCAAATTGAAGCATAGGTAGAGGCGAGAAATTAGGGGAAGAGAGTGTCACATGTGAAATCAATTAAATATAAACATGTGAAATTGAAATTTCAGAAGGAAAACAGAGAAAATGGGGAAAAAAAATAATGGGCTAGGAGTTTTCCAGCTCTAATAAAAGACAACCTATAAACCTAAAAAGCTTAGCAAACTCCAAGAAGGAGATATGTATATACACACACATCTGCACGTTTCATATATATATATATATATATATATATATATGAATGAAATGATAACCTAGGTACATCTTAATAAAGCAAGAAAATGAAACATAAAAGAGAAAATTGCAAAAGCAACCAGAGGAAAAACTGTATTACATTCAGGGAAATAATATTGAAAATGATGCCTGCCTTCTTATAAGGAACAATGGAATGAAATCATTTTCTAAAAGAAAATGGCTATCAACCTAGATTTCAGTACCTAGCAGAAACATTCTTCGTAAATGAATGCCCTCTAAAGACTTCAGAAAAAAAAGACAAGCAGTCACGAGGAGATTTACACTACAAGAGATTCTACAGGGGGTTCATCATTCTGAGGGGAAATTATTTCAGATGAAAGCCTGGGACTACAGGAAAGAATAAAGATAAATATATGAGTAAATATTGAAAACTGATTTTTAAAAATTGTTAAATTCTAAGACTATTGACTGTTTAAAAAAAGTATACTGACAATAAATTATGGTGTTTATAACATGTAGAAGTAAAATATAAGACAGCAAGCAGTAGCACAAAGGGTGGTAGGATAAATGGAGTTATACTGATTTAAGGTGCTTATATTGTTGTTGAAAGTAGAAAATCCTAATTCAAGGTATACTGTAATAAATTAAGGATGTATATTGTAATCTCTAGATTAGCCATTAAAAATGTGTGACAACATGTAGCTAAAAAGCCATCAGGGGACATAAAATGGAATAGTAATAATATTTGATTATTCCAAAAGAATATTGAAAAGGAAGAAAAAAGGAACAAAAATGAATGCAATAAAATAGCAAGATGGTAAACTTAAACACAGCCATATCAGTAATTGCATTAAATGTAAATAGTCTAGTCATTGAAAGGCAGATTGTGAGAGTGAGCAATCTAGCAGTAATATTTATTGATAGATTTGTTTATATTTTATTAATTTTTATTGATTTACTCTGAAGATGTTCTGCATTCTTGACTTTATTTGGAGATATTCAAATTTTAAAATATTCCATAACTTAGACATTTTAACTATATTCCTGCAGTTAATGTATTTAATGAAAATAATATAATTTAGAATATAGTAAATGCAATTATATTTTCATTTCTTTTATGTTTCCAAGAAAGTAAGTGTATTAATAGTCAAGGTTCTCCAGAGAAACAGAATCAAAAGGATGTCTATTTATAGAGAGAGAGAGATTTACTTTAAGGAGTTGGCTCACACCATTGTGGAGGCTGGCAAGTTCACAATCTGCAGGATAGACCAAACAGGCTGGAGGCCTAGGGAAGAGTTGCAGTTCCAGTCTGAAGGCAGTCTGTTGGCAGAATTCCCTCACTTTCAGAGGAGGTCAGTCACTTCCTTAAGGCCTACTGATCAGGTGCGGCCCACTTACCTTATGGAGAGCAATCTGCTTTCCTCCAAGCCTACTGATTTAAATGTCATCCCATCCAAATAAACCAAACTTCTAGAATGATGTTTGACCAAATATCTGAGTACCATGGCCTAGCCAAGTAGACACTGAATTAACCATTGCAGGAAGCTACTCATTACAAACTTTCAGTTATTGTTATACTTTAATAAAAGTGAAACGAGATACAAATATAGATTTTTAAGTAAAATTTACTTAAAATAGCTATTTGGAGACATTTTTCCTTAAGCTTATTCCTTTATATACTTTTTACTGCAAGCTTGAACAAACATGTATGATTGTATTTCCAAATGATATTTTTACATGCAATCTAAATTTAAAACTAAGATTATAACTTTAGATAGTCCACTTTTTAAAATTCTTTTCAACACATTCTTATCCTGAAATTGAAACTATAAAATAAGTAGTTTTTTTTCCGCTTGTAATTGTATAAACTGAGAATATAGATTTGGAGGTTCTCGTTAGTTTTTGTTTGTTTTGGTTTTCATTATTTTAAAGTTTCTTTTTTTCCCCCCAATTAAAATTACTTTCTATTGGATAAGATTTTAAATCTGTAATCAGCTTAGTTCAATTTTATGGCAGTTGGTTACAATAGTGAGAACACATGTAAGATGTTGCTAATTCCTGAACTCTGGGATATAAACACTCATTTGAAAGCCAGTGTGTCATGCCAAACTGCTCTCAGTGGTGGCAGCTAGGAGGATTATGGGAATATGGGGCCTCAGGAAGTGAGAATTTCACGATTTCTTCTATGTACTTCTGTATCATTAAAATCTTAAGATAAGAATCTGCATTACTTGCATATATTCCAGTATGTTTTACTTATCATCTTTTTTTAGATTTTTAACCCAAAGCCAGTGTTGCTTTATGAATAAAAGAATGTCTTTCCATCAAAATTACCATAAAGATTTTGTTATTACATTTAAGATGTAACTCTATTCATTTTCTCTGTAGTATTTCCTCAAAAAAGGATCTCTCTGTTTTGCTAGACTCTTGAGGTCAGAAATCATAATGTATTCATCTCTTATCACTGAGGACCAAGTACAGCCACTCAATACCTGTTAGCTGATTAAATGAAGATAGTATAGTGCTTTATACTTCACTGGCTAACACTAGATATTGAAATTTTAAAATGAAACAAAAGCTATATATTAATCATGTTTCATGATGCTTTGTTCATTTTGAATATAGTCTTGCAAAGTGATAAAAAGTGATTGTTTTGTGTCGTTCTCAATTCCTTCTCATATGTTAAGAAAAATGAGATAAATGCTTGTGAAAGAGAACTAACATTTTGGTTCAAATAGGAATTTTGCTAATTGCTATTAACAGACATTGTAGTTCTCACCTGTAACTAGTCTGGCATGTGACAGCCTTTAGCAATATTTGAACAAACTATTCTGATATTCTAATTCACATGTTAGTTTGCTGATGAACAGAGATTGGAAAGTAAATGAGACTCACCCATGGTCATTTTGAGCAAGACTTTGAACCTATTTCTTTACAGATGAGATGCAGTGTGTTATATCCTGAATGGCTGTTTACTACAAAGAAATGCAGTAGAGGACATTGGGAACAAAAAGATTAATCCACACATCATAAAAGGATATTTCTCAAGATTAGCTGTCATTTTAAAGGAGAGAACCAGGGGAACTTTTTTTCTTCAGATATTCCATGGTGATTGAATAAATAGCAGAATATGTCATAGCAGTAAGTCAGATGATCAAAGAGAAATTCAAATAGATTTATTTATTCTTTTGAGAAAATAGGGCAGCAGTGATTTCCTTTCATAGCTTTTGTGATATTTCTTTATAAAAACTTGATAACCTCGAGTCGGAAATAAAACTTTTTATAGAAGAAATGCAGCAGAGCCCAGATAATGGTATAATTTTTGAGCTGAGAGCAGGATATGGACACATCTTGTGCTATTGCTAGACTCCATTTGAATGGGAAAATTGGCTCAGCTAACCTTGAGTCAGGTGTCTTACTTAGCTAAACTCACCAACTGTTTCTGACCAAAGAATTCATGATACAACTTTAAAGAAACCTGCCATCTGAATAAGACTTTTTTCTCGTAAGCTGTGTGAATCATGTCTTACTGACATAAATGTTTTCAAAATAAAATGGATAGGCATAATAACCAAATATTCACAATCTTTTCTTTCCACAGGGATTATCAGCATAGAAAGAAAGCCTTGTAACCATCAGGTAGATACAGCACCAACGGTAAGGCAATCATTTTTGTGTTGTTAAAACTGATAAAATAAAACTACAAAATGATACTGGTTACAGTTACACAAAATGCCATTGTAGAAAACTCTTACAACCTCCCTTTTCCAAAAGTTATATCCCTGCAAGAAAATTAACCTTATTAAACTTACTAATATTTACTAAGATATAGGAAAATAAGATACTATGTCATTTTATAGGTACTTATTTATATGAATGTTTTTAACTTAAAATGATTTATAGTTTTGATAAAGTAATATAAATTTTTATGCAAATTGATTACACCCTTTTAAAAATGAATGTTGTTTGTGTACTAGCATCATCATTTAGAGTGAATGTTTTAAAATAGTGAATGAAAGAAGGCCCTCCTATGCTTTATTATTTTAGAACTGAAATCTTATCTTTTATCCCTCTTCTGTTGCTGTCATACAACAAAAGGCATTTAACAATCACAGTAGCTATTTACTACATTAAAAAATATTATAGAAGATGATGGAGAAGGAAGAGAATTATATTTCCTTTTTAAAAAGTTTCTAAATATTTGCGTGAAATGTACATTAGTTGCTAATTCGCAGTTTAAAGATTCATAAGATGATTTAGAGTACATCATACATTCCTTAAACTATCTTATTTCTTATCCTTTCTGTTCAATAAGTCTTCCAAGTCCTTCATGTGATTCTCCATTTCCTTTTGTGAGAAAGATTTGGTAATAAAGGTTGAGTATCCCTTATCTCAAGTGCTTGGGACCAGAAGTGTTTTGGATTTCAAATTTTTTCAAATTTTGGGATGTTTGTATTAAACTTACCAGTTCAGCTTCCTAATCTGATAATCAGAAACACAGAATACTTCAGTGATTACTTTCTTTGAACACCACATCAGTGCTCAAAAAATTTCAGATTTTGGAGCATTTTAGATTTCAGATTTTTGGATTAGGGATATTCAACCTATGCCTCTTTTAAGAAAATAAAGACAATATTAAACTGTATTTGAATTTTATTGATGATTAATATTTGCATCAGTAGCAAATTGACTCCATTTTCTATTTCTAATAAATCCATATGATTGATTTAACATATTTAATAACTTAGTGTGTAGGATCCCAGAAAAGACTAATTAGTCATCAGTGTAATTATAAAAAAGTACTTGGCTGTAGTATTTGTTCCAGTTATCCTTTAGTAAGTATGCTAAAAGAGTAACCGTAACATTGTGTAAATTTTAGTCTTTAATATTAAAAAATTGAAGATTGGCAATTAAGAAACATTTATTTTTAATTTATTTGAATAATATACTCAGTCATTGGATTATTTTACACACAGAAAATTCATTTTATTCCTAAAGGCTTTCCTGCAGCACCTTTGTTTACATTTCTATTTTGTTTGTACATTCTGGAACTCAGAAAAGTACAACACTCTAGCCTGATTGTAGATTCCCATGCTTATTAAATAGTGAAGTAACAGAAGCTAATCCACATGAAATCATGAGAAATAATGATATTAGCATTAGTCCCCTAATGATCTCAAAATGACTCCATGAATTAGGAACTAAATCTAATGCATAATAATTTAGGTATTGCTGGTCTTTTGATTTATGCTGTTCCAGTTGGATTATGAAATGGTAACTCCTAATATATTAATACAGTCAATAAGTTTTAATATACTTGGTTTATACATGCACTTCCCAAAAACCCATTAGTTCCCAGGTTTTGACTTGAGCCGAACTTCCGTTTTGATCTGTTTTTCTTAGGTAGTACTAGCTGCTCTTTTTCTATCTCTTTACTACAAACTAAGGGTGTTCTACTTCTCTCCTCTACAGTCCCCCAGCTAGCTGACAGTTAACCCTGGCCCTTTCTCTATCACCTTTAAATAGAATCAACGTCTATTCATTATCCAATGTCCTCTGGTCCCCAGGACAGGTTAAGTCTGATTTTCACAGGAATGTAATTTTACCTAATTTCCATCCCTGAACCTATGTGCTTTTATTTCCTGAAAGGGTTTATGAGAGGAAAATATTTAGCATAGGGAAAACAGGAAGGAGTTTGTCTAAAAATTTAACAAGGTGGGATATTTTTAAACCCAAACTTTGTACTCTGCTGACCCAAAAAGGAGAGATACCATAATTTAAATCTCTCCTGCAGCCTGAGAAAAAAATAGAAAGGGAGCGAACCAGGATTTTAGAATGACAGAGGCTGGGGCCCTGAGTAACTTTCTGACCTGGTACCTAACCCCCAATTCCCAGTTAACTTCTTTACCCATTATCACTCCCATGTCCCTCTTGCTCCAAGTTCTGCCATGAATGCCTTGGTCTCGGAGACTGCTAGATACTAGTTTCAGCCATTCAGCAGGTGAGGGAAATGAGCAAATAGAATTTCTCAAGCCTTTATTCCAAGGAAGGATATGTTTCTTGACATTCCAAGTTGGAATTCGGAGTGCACTTTTCAGCAAATATATGGTTATAGGGGAGAGTGTAATCCTATAGCACTATAATATAATGCAGTGTCCCTTCAGTAAATATAGATTAGCCTGAGAACAAAACCACCTCTGTCCCTTTGTTCTATGTTCCCTCTCACTCTCTTTTTAATTTACTTGTTTCCTTTTTGTTTTTCATTTATTACATGAACTTTGATTTTGGAGGGGGAGGGGGACTTTTTTCTTTCTGACATAAATAGTACCATATCTGTTTTTGATATACCTTTAATAGAAAGTGAAAAAGAATATCCCCGTATGGCATGACCCCTCCATCAAAAAGAATCAAACTTCTCTTTTTAACTGCCTATAATCATTTCTTTTTGTTTGTTTGTTTGTTTGTTTTTGCATGCTGAGCTCTTAATTTTGTTCAATTTTGTTCATATCTAAGAGGCCATTTCAAGTTATTTTTTCAAGAAATATGAAATGGGAGGTGAATTATCTGAATCTACGTATTTAAAAATATCTCTCGGCTGGTCCGATGGTAGTGGGTTATCAGAACTCATTAACATTAGTGTCACTAAAGTTGGTATTCAACCCCCCACTACTAAATTTGACTGGCTTTTAAAAAAAAAAAATATCTCTCAGTTGTCTTGCCAGGATTTTTGATTATTCAAACATAATCTTTCCCCTTAAAACATTGTGGAAATTGATCATCTTTGCCTTCTGGCATTAGTATTGCAGGAGAGACATTGGACGTCAGACTGATATTCACTCTTTTGTATAGGTAACCTGTTTGGCCTGCTTGTCTATTACAGATTTTCTTTTATGTTCTTTATATGTAATACTCTAGGTCAGATTTGATGGTTAAATGTGTGGCTTTCTTTTACATTTTTGTCCTGAATAATAGTCACTCAGCCATTGTACTATTTATTACAGGAAAAGCAAATAAGACATGAGACAATCATAGTATTAGATTATATGAAAATAATTAGATTATGCCACTTTAAGAACTAGTCCCTCTGCACCTGCCTATAGTAAGTGAAGGATAATATCAGCCTCAGATTAATCAGAGGTCATTGTCTGAACCCTTAAAGGCAGGTGTAAAAGTTAGTTAATAGTTAAGTCAGCACAGGCTTGAGTCTGTATTTACTTTAAATTAAGGACTTATGTGCAAATCAAAGAGAAATAGCAACTAGCATAAGGAAGTATTCCTCCAGGAACATAGTTAAAACATACCTGTCCTATAATATTGGACAGCTTTTCATATTTTCTAACAGAATTAATATGCATGTAAAAGACATAAAAACATGGTAAGCCATACTGAATATATAAAAAATTTTAGTGATATAAGTATTGTTTCTGAATCTCTTCCCTTGAAAACTGATATGATAAAATTCAAATAAAATCAGTATGGCCTGTCCTAATGAATTACTTAAAATTTTGTAAAGCTCATACATTCCAAACCTATAACACTAATATTACTCCTTTCTTCTTAGTTTGTATTCAGTAACCCTTCAACTCCTGGTACCGAGGAACAAATTTTTTTTATGAAATGAATTTTTGGCAGTTTATAAAATTATAGCTTGCATTTTCATGGAGGCCTGCACATCTACCATAAAAGGTTAAAATAAATCCAAATTATCTCATCAGGATTATACCAGTTATGAAACACTTGCCATTCATCTAGGTATTCTTTTAATTATTAGGATTTAAAATATCCTAGTCTGATTAGAAATTTAAATGTGGATTCACTATTCTTTACATATATATAGAAGACCAATTTTACAAGCTATTAATTCATTCATTCTGCAGTTATACTCCTTGTAAGTTTTCTAAGGACCGATTGAATTTTTGTCACATAATTTTGTGTCAATAGTAAACTTTAATGTTTTTGTTATTCTGAAAATATTTTTGAGATTTTCATGATGTTACTTACCTTAACATTAAACTTACTTATAAATACACTGATCTGGGGACTGGGCGCAGTGGCTCACGCCTGTAATCCTAGCACTCTGGGAGGGTGAGGCGGGTGAATCGTTTGAGCTCAGGAGTTCGAGACCAGTCTGAGCAAGAGCGAGACCCCGTCTCTACTGAAAAAAAGAAAGAAATTGGCTGGACAACTAAAAAATATATAGAAAAAATTAGCCGGGCATGGTGGCTCATGCCTGTAGTCCCAGCTACTCGGGAGGCTGAGGCAGGAGCATCTCTTGAGCCCAGGAGTTTGAGGTTGCTGTGAGCTAGGCTGACGCCACGGCACTCTAGCCAGGGCAACAGAGCCAGACTCTGTCTCAAAAAAAAAAAATACTGATCTGCATCATAAAAATTAAATTTCATTCTGAGTCTCTTTTGGATTATTTGATATCTGTACTCATTCTGCAACATTTTGCGTTGTTAGATTGTTGTCATTGTTTAGCGCATTCTTTAGGTTCACCAGATTGCCACATAATGCATTATTACACTTTAGTATAATATACTTTATACATATATTCATGTAAAACATGGCTGTTTCGTATTTTAACAAATATTTGGGACTATTTATTTATGGATAAATACATGAGTTCAAGTGAAATGTCTTTTATTCAAAGGAAGCAC